TGGGGTATAAAAACCAACTTCTCCTCCCCCCTACCTTCTTTTTCTTCCCTGCAGAGAAGGATTCCCGCCTAACTTTCTCCCTGACAGCCAGTATACCTTTGTGCAGGGAATGTTTTCACACAGGACATCATTTTCTGAGGATGGAGTTTGGGTCTCGCCCCTATGGCCACCCGCTACACGCTCAGCGTTTTGCCTAGCAGACATTGGGACCAGTGTTCACCATAGTATTATTTCACTCCGCTAGAAACCACATTATGTAGCTGTACCCTTCAGGTTGCTTGGGATTGAGTCCTGCATTTCAAAAGGTGGGGTGACTGGGGCCTAGGTTTGCCAAAAACAGCCCCTCCTATTTCTTTGTCATTCCGACTACAGTTGCCAACCCCAGCTTGGGACATCGCCGGAGATTTGAGGGTGGTGGCTGGGGAAGGGAGAGGAAGCGCAACGGGAGCGTGACGTCACTCTAGGACTTCTGTTTCTGCGGGGCTCTGTGGTATACCACAGAGTGCCATTTGCTCGAAGGGAAACTGATCGCCGTAGTCTAGAGATCAGTTGTATTTCTGGGAGAACGCCAGCTCGTCCCCGCCCCCCCAGGCTCTGGTCACAACTTGAACTTTAAATCTGTACCCCCAGAGCTTTGCCACAGGCCCGTTGTGGTCTGAGTCTCTGGGCTTCCGATCCGAAAATGTGAATGTTTCTAAATACTTGTTATGAGATGACTTTCTCCAAAGCAAATCAGTGTGTGCGCGGGGGTTTCCCCCAAGTGTTAATGATTTTTTTTTAAAAAAAAACTGCTGCCTCTCAGATTTCTGCCAATCTTACTAACTCCCTGAATTTCAGGGTCCGGGGGGAGGGATCGCTTGACATACTCACAAGCACACGGTGCCTTGGGTTTACTGCCCGCGCATGTCTTTGACACCGCTACGTGGACGAGTTTCGTCGGGGACACAGTGGGTGGTTTTCTGGGGTTTTTATCGATGCCCTTTCTTAAAAATAAACGTTCTAAAGCCACGTAGTGCCTGCATCTTGCTTGGGATGTGTGAGGTTGGCTGTAGAGTTTATTACACTACATTTGAGGAGATGCTTCGGAGACACGGGAGGCGTTACCGTTCCTGCCAAGATCTGATGGAGGGAAATCTTTGGCTGCTTATTATGTACTGAGATCGAGGCAGTGTTTGAACAAGTGATTTCTTTATTCCGCTTGTAACAGACAAACAACTCAAAGAACGATGCAACTATATACATTTTGAACTCGCGAGGCCACACACCCCCTAGCATGGTAACGACCAATCAAAATCGATAGCTTAGGACCAATGGGATTCATTCCCGAAAATTGGTCAGGGTCTTTCCGGATTGGTCTGTTGTGCAACAGCGACCAATCTGACTGCAGGGTTTAGGATACCTTAAAAGTCAATGGAGCTTGTGCCTGAAGCTCCGGTTTAGGTTACATTGCATAACATATAAGCAAATACATAACACTGCTTATTCTTACAGTGTATTATATCCAACAAAGAAACACTGTGATAAAAATGACAACATTTAATAAATCCTATGAACATCAATTTGTATATCAATTAAAACTTTTACAATATTGCTCAGGAAATTCTAACATTTTTAAGGAAAAGTCCAACATCCTTTTGGATGGCTCCGGATTGCAAGACTAGATCTAATGGGTGGAAATGACAAGGGAGTCGATACCGGCTAAATATCAGGAGAGACTTCCTAACCGTAAGAGTAGTTGAGCAGTAGAACAGACTGCCTCGGGAGGTGGTGGATGCTCCTTCGCTGGACGTTTCAAGTGGAGGCTGGACGACCATCTTTCGGGTATGTTGTGGGGCAATCTTTCGGCTATGCTCCTGCAGAGTGCAGGGGGCTGGACTAGATGACCTCCAAGGTCCCTTCCAACTCTAACATTCTATGATTCTACTCTATGATCCTTAATGAGCACCCAGTTACACACTCATTTCACCAATCTTCCTCAGGAGTAATCCTATTGAGTTGGAAGGTGTCAGCCTCTTGATACAGCTTAACTTCTTCTTTTTTTTGCTTCCTTCAAATAGTTGACAGCTTGACCTCTGTTTTACTTCCTTCAAATGATTGCAGCGTAACTTCTTTTTTAATTTCCTCACATTATCCTGGAACAACCATGGTTATTTAGAATGGAAAGAAACATGAAGCTGAACGGAATATAGTTTTGTTATAATTTTTTAAATTATTAATTTTTAACTTTAACAATTTTAAACTTACTTCCGGTTCCATTTCAAGTGTCTGAATTAGGAGCAGACAGCGCTATTTTTTTAAAAAGAAATACTCATCTAGGTTTCAGTGGTGTACTCTAGCAGGGAAGTTTGGGACTGTTAACTGCGGGGAAATGCTCATTTTCCCTTCTGCATGTTTAGATCTTCGCACCACGACTTCCATGCCCTAGAAAGAGGCAGGGTATGTGGGAGGAACTGCCCTTGTGGTGGTGGGGGGGGACAGGCTAGAAACTGTCCTTGGGGTACCATTTTGACACTGATGCGGCTGTATTTTGGTCAAATGAGATGCTCTACAGCTCGGGTGGAATTCACTTGCCACAGGAGGTGGCGGCGGCTACACGCATGGACAGCTTCAAAGAGGGAATTGGATAAACATATGGAGCCGAGGTCCCTCAGTGAAGGTTTTAACTGTTTTGTCTGTTTTAATATGTGTATAATGTGCCACTTTGGTGAGGCAATGTCACAAATGTTAAAACAATAAAATAAATAACTTTTCAAATGGCAGATGATTTCACTCATAAAAATAAATCAACACAATTATGATTGACAGTCTGCACCTTGTATATCTAAAGCAAAAGAAATAGCGGATCTTTATTTATTTATTTATTTATTTATTTATTTATTTTAGTCAATTTATACCCTGCCCTCCTTGCTGAGGTGAGCTCAGGGCAGCTTACATATATGCAAGAGCTAAAAACAACAATATAATAAAAGCATTAAATCTTAAAACAACAACATAAGGTGCTAGTAACAATATAAGTAACGATAGCGAAGGCAGAGTAGCATCAACACACTGGTAAACGTAGTCAGTGTTAGATTTTTGTGGCGGTGGAACTCAGGCTGTTGATGATGGTATTGGGCCCAGGGCCTTGGTGTGGTGGAAGAGCTCCGTCTTGCAGGCCCTGCGGAACTGTAAAAGGTCCTGCAGGGCCCTTAGGTCTTTCGGGAGCTCATTTCACCAGCGCAGATCCACTACTGAAAAGGCCCTTGCCCTAGTTGATGCCAGCCTGATGTCCTTAGGGCCCAGAAGGGCTAGACAGTTTTGGGATCCTGACTGCAGTGCTCTCTGGGGAACATGTGGGGAAAGGCGGGCCTTCAGATTCCAGGGGATCTTATGTTCTTAAGGTTACCCAACATCCTCTTTTTAGAGAACATGATCTTTTTTTTGGAGGCCATCCTCTTTTGAGCTTTAAAAAAAAAGTTAATGAAAATGTCCTCTTTTTTGGGCAGGAAGGTTAGGAATATTGCTACTGAGTAGCAGTTATCACAGCTTCAAAGGGTGGAGTATTTAAATTGATTTTTTTTTTGTTAATCGTCTTTATTACTTTTAATTCAACATACAGTGCATTAAGCAAAGATCTTGTCGCCTTGCTTATTTAATATATATGCAGAGTACATCATGCGAAATGCTGGCCTGGATGAATCACAAGCGGGAATTAAGATTGCTGGGGAAAAGATCAACAACCTCAGATATGCAGACGATACCACTCTAATGGCAGAAAGTGAAGAGGACCTAAAGAGCCTCTTGCTCAGGGTAAAAGAGGAGAGCGCAAAAGTGGGCTTGAAGCTCAACATCAAAAAAACTAAGATCATGGCATCCGGCCCCATCACTCCTTGGCAAATAGAAGGGGAAGTCGTGGAAGTAGTGACAGACTTCATGTTCCTGGGATCCCAAATCACCGCAGACTGTGACTGCAGCCATGAAATTAAAAGACGCCTGCTCCTTGGGAGGAAAGTGATGGCGAACCTAAACAGCATGATAAAAAGTAGAGACATCACCCTGCCAACAAAAATACGCATGGTCCAAGCAATGGTATTCCCAGTAGTCATGTATGGCTGTGAGAGTTGGACTATAAGGAAGGCCGAGTGCCGAAGAATAGATTCTTTTGAACTATGGTGCTGGAGGAGACTCTTGAGAGTCCCTTGGACTGCAAGAAGATCAAATCAGTCAATCCTAAAAGAAATCAACCCTGACTGTTCCCTGGAAGGCCAGATAATGAAACTGAAGCTCAAATACTTTGGCCACCAAATGAGAAGGGAGCACTCACTGGAGAAGACCCTGATGCTGGGAAAGATTGAAGGTCATAGAAGATGGGGACGGCAAAGGATGAGATGGTTAGACAGTGTCATCGATGCAACGAACATGAAAT